TGCACAGGATGAGAGCATGAAGCTCCTCGACCCGACCCCAAGAGGCCAATGTCAACAGGAAAAGAGCCTTCAAAAAACAATCCTGAACCGAAGGGGCCACAACAAACTGAGGAGAAAAGAGATAGGAGAGCACTCTGTCCAAAGACCAGGACAGCTCTGGCGGAGCATGAGCAGGCCGGAGGTGAAACAACGCACAAGACAGCTTGTGAAACAGCGCAGAAGTAACATCTATACCGAAAGCAAGCTGAAGCGGCTCCACCAGCGCCGCACGATAAGAGGCGACAGTAGTTAGCACAAGATGACGGTCCTGGAACAACCACGAGAGAAAGGACAACACCCAAATTGAAAGCGAAGTACAACGGCGAAGAGTCAAAAGGAAACGGAAGGACTGCCAGGAAACTTCATACTGCCGCCGGGACGAAGCCCACAGGTGGGACACCATCAATGAAGCCACCTCATCACCATACAAATGGTGATGAACTCAAGTCAGAAATACCAAATGTGAAGACTCAAGGAGAAGAGCGAACCAGTCTCGTAATGGACCGGGCTGATCTGCTGAAAGAGGCGGAGCCGCAGAAAAACCTCCGGGTTCGGACACCGGGCAAGCAGTGCCTGAAACCACGGCTGTGCCGGCCACCACGGGGCCAACAGAACTACTCGCCTTTGGTAAGTTTCCAAGCAAGCCAGAACCTGGAGCAACAGCTGAACCAGGGGTAAGAGGTACAGGAACACCCACCTTGACCGGTCCTGCCGAAAAGCGTCGATCTCGACAGCCTCGCAGTCGGGGAAGGGCGCCACATATACCGGAAGACGCCTCAACTATGCTGTCACAAAGAAATCCACCTCCGGGCGCCCGAACGTCTGGCAGAGCCAACTGAATGAGTCGGCATCGACTATCTGTCCGTGGACAAGGGAACGAACCAGGACAAGACGTCCCCCAGGACGTTGGACACTTCCCGGACATAAACCGCCAGGAGAGCCAAACTCCGAAAACTCAGCAGACGAGTCACCTGAAGAGCCCAACCCCAAAGAGTCAAGGACTGCATCGAATCCCTCTTGGTTCAGGCAATGAACCACCGGAGAGCGGTTCGAATGGAGCCGAACCCTCCGACCAACCCTCGAGCAACCGCCGGGTGACCTGGAAAAAAGCGAATGCGGGACCACAGCTGAAGGAGAGACTCCAGAGGAAGAGACAAGGAAGCGGCTGCCAATTTGCACACAGAGGTGGAAAAGAAAACCACACTCCTTTTAACAGCTAGCCCTGCTCGGAGGGTAGGAAAACTCAGGCGGAGTTTAACGGGGCCCAATGCCCCCAAGTCAGCTCCTCCCCAACCCGTGAACCTCCACGTCAGGCCCCGGGGCTGAGTCGTCCTCCAGAGGCCCCGGCCGCACAAGAAAAAGCCGGGGCAGCCGGAATAGCTGGAAGAGGATGGGCCCACTAGTCAGACCCCAGAGCTACGGCTGGAGGAGCTGACTCGTATGCCTCTGCAGCCACGCTGGAAGGAGCAATCCCTGAAGCTACCCGAGTCTCAGAAACCTCTAAACTCTGCCTAGACCACGAAACCCTCAAATGCTTAGGAGCCGGAAGAAGGGGAAAGGGGGAGGACCGAATGAACCACAGCAGGGGAAGAACAAGGGGGCACGGACGGAACCAAGGCTGAAGCAACCAGCATCCCCGAGTCCGGGTCCCTATAAACAAAACGGGGCAGCCTCGGGGCATCCAGGGAAGCAACTAACCAATCTAGCCCACTGCAGCAACCTAAACTCATCTTGCAACATGTGAGCTGCCTACAACCAAATAATTTCATCATCAGATTGGGTAAACTGAGTCACATACAAGCAACAAAGCTCGCAGGACTCCGGGTCGAATGTGTCACCGACGCAACAGGCAGCATGACGGAGGCAAAATCAAAGAGGCGCCGCCCTGAGACAAGGGGACAGAGCAACCCTCAAACTCGAAAAAGTGAGACGAGACTCGGGAGTCACATCCATTGGACCCGGGTGGCCCCCGCGGGGTTTCCCAGGGCCCTTAGACTGGGTCTGTTAAGGGTTATCCTAGGCAGGGTACTGCTAACCTGCACCAAAGCTACCAACCAACACTGCTAAAGCTGAACCCTCGGGACATGTCCACTCAGAAGGGCAAAGCAGGGGGTACTACCACACACAAACAACCCTAATATAAAGGGGAAGGAACACCAAGGCAGACATCCTCCCCCTCCCCACCAGGCAAAAACAAAAATAAAAGAAAAACCTTGCAAGAGGACAGCGTATCTAGAGGGAACATAGCCGGCTGCTGTTTTAGGTGAAAATTAGCTACGCAATACCCTGCGCCCCTACCAGTGCAAAAATACCACTTACCCCAAGGCAAACTAGGGAGGAAACCTCCCAAAACACTTGGGGCGGTCAATCGCCAAGCAGCGAAAGACCAACAGAGGTAGACCCAAGGTGACTTGAGGAAGGTAACCCCAAGCCCCTAGGGCGATACTTACAGGACACTTAGGAAAGGGAGCCCTAAGCGCATGCAGCCCGCGTACCTAGGATTAATACTCCCAGCTCGCACACCACCGAAGAGAAGTACTGAACCCAGGCACAGCACAATAAGAATCAGGAGCTGGAGCCACAACGACCAAGCCTTATCCCATCAACCAAGGAACTGAGGTGTGGATCGCCGGCACGGGGGTCTGGGGCTCCCTCTTCCCCCTCCCGGAGAGGGGGGAGCTGCGCAGACATGCGGCGCGGCTCGTGTGACGTCATGTTCGTTTGCTCGTTTTCAATTGGGGAAGTTCTGCCCACTTGATTTGTTATTTTCATTTGTTTCACCAGAATAGGGGTTTGTTATGAGGCGCATAGCTTTCTGGTGCCTGTCTTGGTCGATGGCAGATAAAGAATGCTCCAAAATCACATGTGCATTTCTATGGGCCATTGCTTCTCGTGCCTCTCTGAGGGGGGCCAGGTTCTGGCTCGTGGTCCCCGGTAGGCCTAAAACTCCTCCAACATCGACTGATGCCAAAAGTTAGGACTATCCCTATCAGCCTGGATAGCTCCGGGGAGTCGTAGGGGCTCCCCCCAGAAAAGACATAAGAACTAAGGAAACTGCAGATCTATTGGCCCATATATGGGAGTTCCTTTTTATATCTACCTAAACTCATTCACATACAGTATATGAATGAGTATACAGAAGTACCTCAGTTTAAGAGTGTAATCCATTCCTGGAGACGGCTCATAATCCGAAAACTCGTAAACCAAGGCTAATTTTCCCATAAGAAATAATGGGAAATGAATTAATCCATTCCTGACTACCCAAAAACCTCACTTCAAACTAAATTTTATACCTAATTCATCTAAATCTACACTACAAAAGTATATTCCAAGTTATTACTTACCCTTGCTGATGACTGCTGTTGGCATTTGGAAGATGGTGATGAGGAGGGAGGAGGAGAGGTGTTACTGTTTGGAAGGGGAGTCCCCTTTCATTATCACATCAGGCAGTGAGGACTTCACTGGTGTGCACACTCTGGCACGTTTTGCCTGCATACCACTAGGACTTGCTTGTGGCTCACTGTTTGCTTGTCTTACTAAGAATCTGTCTAAAGACACTTTTTTCCCTACATTTTAACACCTGTCTGTAGCAAGACATCACATTGTCATTTAAAAGGTCAATACAATGCCCTGCTACAGCTAAACCGCATATGACCGCATATTCAACGCCCTGCTAAACTCTGGGTGAGTTTTTTCAACAAAATTTTGCAGTTCTTCCCATACTTCACACATTTTCTTAATGAAGAAGGGACATCCTCTACTGCCTCTATTCAACTATTTTCTTAGGTTGAACCTTACCACTGGCTTTCTTGGGACCCATGGCGAGATATATGATAACTTTTATGCTCAAATGGCCAAAAATCCAACAAAAACTGTAAGTCCATGAGAAGAATTCAGGCGGGATAGTCACTGGGTGCAAGGCATTGGTAAACTGAGGCGCGATCGCCGTGCCAACACACGCTAGTCGGCCTGTATGCGTATCAACACCCTCGTATTCCCATGTAAATTTTCCAAGCAAATCCTGCTCGTAATCCAAAAAACTCGTAAACAGGGACGCTCGTATTCAAGGTACCACTGTATCTGAATGAATGAGTATACATGAATGAATAAGTATATATAAATTGGAATATATGAATGAGTTTGGGTGGATATAAATAGGAGCTGCCTCATATGGGCAGCTCCTATACATTCTGAAGATCCTTTATTATTATGTTCAAATGATAGTTGTTGACCTGGTACACTTCATTACAATCATACAGAGTTGTAAAAACATATGAATATACAGTACAGTAATCAGTATACATAACATGTATTTATAATGGAATTTTATACCATGACAATTAATACATTGTCATACTAACATTTGTCATGACAAACAATTTGTATAGCAAGAGTAAGACGCTTAATTGTACAGCTGGTATAATTTGTATAGCAAGCAATCATGAAACAAAAACAGGATTTTTCATGGGCCACGGTAAACTCTACTAAATCCCTTTAGAGCTATAATATCTATATTAGCATCATTGGTAAAAAAAACAGACAATATGTAGCCTGACAGCTGAGTGGACAGCGCTTCGGATTCGTAGGCATGAGGTTCCGGGTTCGATCCACGGTGGAGGCAGAAACAAATGGGCAGTTTCTTTCAACCTGATGCTCCTGTTCACCTAGTAGTAAGTAGGTACCTGGGAGTTAGACAGCTGCTATGGGCTGCTTCCTGGGGATGTGTAACAAAAAGGAGGCCTGGTCGAGGACCGGGTCGTGGGGACACTAAGCCCCGAAATCATCTCAAGATAACCTCAAAATAACCTTTATTAGTTTAAATGAACATATGAAACTACATTACCACATGAATTAACATATGATAACCGCACTTTGAGGGTTAAAGAAATTAGCTTCAAGGATTACACAGATTAGTCAACAAATTATATAATACTCAAACCATAACTATGATTTCAATTTACCTGATGGCTAAATGCACAAGCGTATGTCCTTCATCAAAAGCAGAAGAGCGTGACAAAAGCTTTACGTCTGCAGTAGTGAGCTGCCTCATCGGATCTCCACCTATCAAAATGGTGAGAAATTTGTCATATTATTTCCTAAAACTTAGACCGAGTGTACTATATATGAAAAACGTTTTATTGAGCACGGACGGCACTTGGTTGCTTCCTTACGTAAGGTCTGCCTGGCCCCATTGACATTCTGCATCAGCATAATAGAAACCTTTTCAAACATCCCAGATAGATCATACTTGTGCAAGGAAGACTCCAGAGAACTCTCAATTCAGCCTGACAACAACTCAAGAAGGCTTATTTTATATAAGCACAAAGCCTTTGTAAGTGCTACTTGGTATCACAGGGATCACCTAGCAGTGCTATCACTAATTGGCCCTCCTGGCTGCTAACCCCTAACCATCACCGAGTAGCAGTACATACACACACCTCTGAGATGACTCGATAGAGGGATGGGGAAGAGGCCTGCCCCCAGAAACCCGACCCCCCCCTGCTTATGGGGAAAAGGTCAGCCCAACACCAAAAAAACAGCATTGAAAGTAATGAAATGCCATTTCCTAAATCTGCCCACTTAACATTCTACCCGATCTGCCGATCTGAACCATCCACCTATAAAGCACAGGGAAAACCGGGACAAAAGACAGGTTAATGACAACAACAGTGTCCTCCTCAGAAAGCACTGTAGCCTTTCATAAACAATTATTGTACACCTCCTTAATGCCAATTTCCAAGTACTGTAATTAATTTTCTAAATACCTGTAACAGGAAAATTTTGTTATTGGACAAGCTTTCAATAATCTGGATTATACCTGAATTCAGATTCACAGTGGCAAACACTGAAAACCTGGATCAGCGCTACAGAAATTTTCAGCTGATCTAATTTTTTCACCATTTTTACTATTTTTGTACTTTTAGTATGGAATACAGTAGTCAATATTATTTAAAAATATTATCAACATTTTATTAATAATTAATATAATTATTATATTATTATTAAGATTGCACTATGCTATAAATTGTACAAAACAAATCGTGAATGAGATTTTTTCTGAAAGTGGCCAAGTACAGTACAGTACAGTACTAACAGTGGACATGTCCAAATCAGATGTCTAGAGGTGTACCAATACCAATACTTTCACAACAACCCGTTTTCGCAAATTTAATAAGTCAATATTGACTTATTAAATATGTGCATAGGTGACATACTTAAAGGAATAGATACCCTTAAAAAGATTCATAGAAAACACCGACCTTACCTAACCTACTTAGTATGTTAAGATAAGCATCTTATTGCTTCGTAATTACAATTATTACCTAACCTATAATAGGTATAGGTTAAGTAATAATTGTAATTACGAAGCAATAAGATGCTTATCTTAAGATACTAACAAGGTTAGGTAAGGTCGGTGTTTTCTATGAATATTTTTAAGGGTATCTATTATGTTAAGTATATCACCTATGCACGTAGTTAATAAGTCAATATTGACTTTACGAATTTGCGAGAACGGGTTGTTCACAAAGTATTCATCAAGAGGTACCCAGTAGTGCAGTTGGGTTCATTCTCAACTCGTAGTCAAGAATTCTGGGTTTGAATCCTGGACAAGGCAGAAATGGTTGGGCGCATTTCCTATCACCTCGTGTTCCTGTTCCCCTAGCAGCAAGTAGGTACTCAGGAGTTAGCTTTTTGTGGGGATGCATCCTGGGTGGTGTCAGTAATTCAATCTTTGGAGAGGACCTTGATAAAAAACAACAACGTTGAAACACCATTTTTTGAGTGAGCCCAAGAGGCTACCTGAAGCTATCCTAACTGATATAGTGCATTATTAGTTTGGGGTCATCAGTCACAGGAGTCCTTTTGCCTACTGGGGACCACAAGCCAGAACCTGGCCCCCCTCCCCCGAGGCACAGGAAGCAATGGCCCATGAGCACTTTACATTCAACTGGGCAAGGCATCCAGAAAGATAAGCAAAAAAAAAAACACAACCCGGTAAAAATGCGACCTACATCCGAAAAGAGCAAAATAACTTCCCCAGAAAGAAAAGAAACAAGCAACACTTCATCCAACTTGCATTCCCGCTCGTTAGTACTACCCTTAACAAACGCGAGCTAAACACCGAGAAAAAGCCATGAACCAAAGAGACGCTCCCCCTCCCCAGTTGAGACAATGAACCACAGGGAAGTAGCCCAAATGGAGCCTGATCACAGAGCCCCGAGGAAGCAGAATCCATCGCAGCGCCTGCCACACCACCGTGAATTCCTGCACCATGCTCTGAGCCCAACGTAATGAGTGCCCCCAGCGCCCCTAGTCGGACTGATGAGCACTGGTCACAAAGCCCCAACTGAGGGATGAGACGACTTTGAACACATTGAGTGAGGAAGGCGCCATGACACCGAACCCCGAAAAAAACAAAAAGGAAGCTGGTGATACAGCAACCAACGCAAGGACAACGGGAAACAAACCCAGCGATCGCAAAAGCCGCATAAGAGGTCATCCCAAAGATACTTGAACAGCCTCCGAAGCAAAACCCTGCCCAGCAGATAAATCAACAGAGCAAAGTTCAGGCTCCCGCACAGCTGCTCGAGCAATCGCCGAGTGACCTGGGTCCCCCCCTCAAAAACAGCTGAAGGTGGGAATGCAATTGGAGCAGAGCTGCAGGAGAGAGGGAGAGAAATGGATGCAGTACGAGAATCCCATACTAGGTCCAGCCAAGTTCAAACCTGGAATGGAACCAACTGAGACTTCTGTCAATTAATTAGGAACCCGAACCAGGCAAGCTGGGAAAGAACCACATCCCTGGCTAGCAGACAAGCAGACCGTCTGGGAACCCACACCAACCAGTCTTAGAGATAGGGCAAAACCCGAATACCTAGCCGACAAGGATGAGCCACCACAACCTAAGTGCGTGAAAACACAAGGTGCCAGATTCAAGTCGAATGGAAGACAATGAAAGTGTTAAGCCTGTCTCCTCACCATGAAACCCAACCAATCACCAAATCCCAGATGGATCAGGACGTGCCCATAAGTGTACTTAAGGTCCAGGGAAATCATCCGGTTCGAGAATGAGCCGGACCTGGGACAACGTGGTCATCTGAAAAGAGGAGCAAGGAATCAACAGGTTCAGACAAGAGATGTCCAGAATGTACTGGAGATCTGCACAGTCCCATTTCGGAACTGGAAACAAGCAAGAAATCCACTTTTGAGACGAGGTTGTTTTGACCATCCCTAAGCGAAGCCACTCTGAGATGACTCATTAGAGGGACGGGAAGAGGCCTGCCCCCAGAGACCCCCCCCCCCCCCGCTTATGGGGAAAAGGTCAGCCCAACACCAAAAAACCAGCATTGAAAGTAATGAAATGCCATTTTCTGGGTGAGACCCGGAGGCTCCCCGGAGTTATACCTGGCTGATGTGTATATATATTAGACTGTGGCAACAGTCAATTGAAGGAGTTCTAGGCCTACCGGGGACCAGAGCCAGAACCTGGCACCCTCAAGAGTGGTACGAGGAGAAATGGCCTAAAGACACCCCCTGTGTAATTGGAAGCAGTCTTTTTCTGCCATCTACCAGGTCAGGCACCCAGAAAGGTAGGAATTCCAAAACAAACTACTGCTGATCAAATGAATTGCAAACTGAAAGCCGGACAAAAACTCAGTCTCGACAAAAGTTTTGTTGCCGGAAAGCAACAAAAGTTTGTTGCCGGAAAGCAACAAAACTCCCCAATCAAAACCAAGGAAACAAGTATGATGTCACCACTGTTACGAACCCGATTCCATCGTCAGAGCTTGGAGCAGCGACGTCAATGCCATCTGTGAGTCCGTTCCCGAAACCCCCACAAATTGGACAACGCCATCTAGTGGTAACAGGATTATACCAGCAAGAGGCGCTAGATTCCTGTCCTAGTCAGCTCGAGAGGTAGCTGTTGCTGACCTCTGGTGAGGTGGCGCCTAGAAAAGCAGCGCCATCTATTATAGGAGGAGTTGTATGTCTATGTCAGAATATGTAAGTGATGTTTCCTAGTGTCCCATGTACTGACCAGTGTACTGATGACGTGTCTGTATCCACAGAGTCGACGTAGGGCTGCTGTGGTACGAGGACAGTCAGTCTACCCAGGGCAGCCAATAGCTCTCTACTCCATTCTGCTTTATGGAAGCAGTGAGCCGCCGCCGGAGAAGAACTGTGTAGTGTTCTACTGTCTGCCTGTGAAGTGGCAGTGACAGAATTCGGCGTACCCGGGACTGGCTAATGGAAGAGACGACTGACAGTAAGGTGCTAAGGAGGAGCGTAACCAGCGAGTTGCAAAAAGCTCCTGCCAAGGGTTCGCTACCCTTGTATTTGTACATGAAGAGGCCCAGCAGTGCAAGGCTGATGTTTTCTGCCAGCACCAGGCTGGAGAGTGATTGTGGGCGTGCACGAAAAGCACCTGGTGAGACTGTGTTTTGGCTGGCCTTTGGCTAGGGTAGACTCATTTGTGTTTCCCAGTACTGGTTGAGGACGGTACTGTGTGTGTTGAGGAAATACGGTAGCCGACAAGACTGCATCGATTGAGCATCGAGGAGCGTTTAGTGTCCTAGGAGAGACTTCTGTACATATTAAGTGTAGTAATACTTCCTTTAGGATTATATATGAGGTGATGGGAAAGTGATTATATATGAAAATATTGATAATTGATGAAGAGTCGTATTCAATGCACCTCCCCCATTGTGTTTTACTTGCATTACCGAGCTCACTCCTTCAAAGCCACTACTAACTTGGGGCCGGATACCAGAACTTTAGTTCCAGCAGCAAAGAACCCAGTTGCGACCCATTGTGGCCGTAAAAACCACAAACACCGCACATCCGTACTGCACAACTCCCCCTCTCCAGGAGGAGGACGGGGGTCCCAGACCTCCACGCCGGCAACTCTCCTCAGTTCAGAGGCCGAGTAACAAAAACGAAAAAAAACAAAAAAATGCCAACCGGAGGGAGGGAGGCATGCCAAGGAGCCTCCAGGGCTCACCCAGAAAATGGCGTTTCATTACATTCAACGCTGGTATTCTGTGGAGAGCCCCTTCGGC